CGAGTTTGGCGAGTGTGAGCAGYTGTTGTTTCGCAACGWGGATGAWGSTAGAACATCAGACTTCTTTCCGTGGCATGTCGTCTCGACTGAGTAAAGGATGGTAACGGTACCGATTGAGAGGAGAAGGAGATTAGTATTCARACTGCACCGGTTATCGAGCCCTAAGGTTGTGYTGGATAGTCKGACCGTTCTTCTTCTTCTTTTYRACTTYCCTGGCTAGTTTWYGATGAAACTATSACGACCGAGGCTCCGGTTTGCTGGACTCAGATTGACGGGCCAGGGAATGTAGTCTAGAACGCGAGCGTCCTTATCAGTGGGACATCARACTKATCCGAGTTGGGAGGTGCTTAATTGATCCGACAGTTCCAACTTACTGMATAMTATAATCAGACCAGTCAATAGCTGCTCCTGYAGACAGAAGTAAGACTATACAACTTTGGCGGAATAATCGGAACCAACAGTCAGTATGGAGAGGGGCGAGACTGCACAGATAAGGAAATTGGCTTTCCTCTTGCTGCTGTGTCTTTTGTTCCCCCTTTTAGCCCGTCTGTCCGTTGTTGAGCATTAATGTCAAAACCCTGTGGGCGGAATTGCGTGAGTGTGACTCTGTCGACTTATTACCTTATTAAAGTCACTCGATGAGTATCAGTTCTGACATGGTATGGCTCTAGTCTAACTGAGGGAATCATTGTTCACTGTGAACCGAGCGAATGAAAACTCGATACGATAAAGTATGACGGACGTGGTTGATGGGGAAGAGGGGAGTAATATTGAAAAGAATTGCTTACATCCTTATTAAGCTCCTTCTTGATGGTGACTGATTGGTTCTATTTGAGTAACCTGACCTGCTGGTCATTCAAGTAATTATGCATATATACACGCGTACTATTATGCGAAGACTCTCTTTTTCTTGAACAGTGTCAAGGAAGGGACAGGAAGGGTCAGGGCCTTGATAACTGAACAGACGGCCTGTTATTTGGCAGGTGTCCTGTCATGAGCATACAAGTCTTTTCTTGAGCCAAATCACAGGGTACTTCACGTTTAGTGACTTTCGGTCTTCTGACATGTATTGTGCGAAGGCTACAAGTTGACTTGCCAGCATTTCGTGCAGAACCGACTAGCGACTAAGAGTACGGACTCTGAAGTTAACGATYAGTATTGCTCGCATCTTCTACAAAAGGGAAACGTYGATTGATGCCATTWTAAAATTATTAGCCGTSTCTGGTGAAAAGGTTCTTTGTAAACGTTCATGCTTACCGAGACTGGTCTGGGGATGTTTGAATAACGCCGTCACCATTACCTACTTTCCCTTACCCGACTAGGCGTTCAAACCCTGTCCGGCACTCAAYGTGCCAGCRCGCACATGRYTGGTGTTCARCGTGGCTCAGCTATGAGAGTCTAAACTGCAGASAGTTTAGAGGGRAAAAAAACTARCGGGGAACTAACTAYGATAAGAACTGTTGTTGACACCAGATTGGAATGAACAGCGAATGTTTGCTTCTGGGTTCAAAGAGTTGATGATTGACGTTGCCTGACATTAATGTCATTTSTGGTCTSGCACACGCGGTCCCTCYCCTCGACCGTGCRTAATCGKCCRTTTAAGTTTGGGGGTGGGACAGTCTTAAGCAGARATTTTACCTGCTGGTTATTGGTAGAGCATTCCCCTTCTRTGTTATGGCAAAGAATTATGTGGGCCAGACGAGTGAGCTGGGATATCACCAAAAGCATGCAAACGCGGACAGGCGATGTAACTCTTACMCGAGAGTCTCACTTMTGAAACAAAACTACTCTAGGACATTATAAAACATTGAATCAGCTGCTGGGTACACGATTAGTATTCAGACTGTTGGAATGGTCCATCCCAAATACTCAAACTGACGAGGATTAGATCACTAACTTCAGCATGTCCTATAGGCGACTATCTTGATAGTCAGTTTGAATAAGGCTTAGCAAGTGCTTCCCAGACCTCTATTTTGTTAAGCCCTGATGGTAGGGGCAATTATCTAGCGTGACTGAGAATATTAGTAATTAATCCGAAGTCTGGTTATTCCCTAAGAAATTGGAACTGACAGAGAGGTCAGTAACCGGTGATACTACCCTGAAAGACGTAAAAAGAAAAGGAACAATGAGAGAGGAGGAGGTTCTGGCGGTGAAAGGTAGCTTAATCAGAGACAAGAGAGAGGGATGGGAGGAAGAGGCCTGTGTAGACATGGAACTTCATAGGTTGGCTCAGAGGGGAGTCGCCGTCGGGATGGCAGAGGGAAAGAAATATATCGAATATGTGCTGTACTATTATGGCCGCAATGGTAAGCTTCGCAGTACCGGTTCGAGTTTTGAGACCGTCGCTAGAATCAAGCTCGTGTGAGCCCTGTTTTGGTTGTTTCTACGTGTTCATACCCCTGACAAGCGTGGAATATGAAGGTGTAATGATCCTTGCTCGATCATTTATAGGAAGTTAAGTCATGAGTGCAAAAGTTGTGCAAACGAACTTTGGATAAAATATGGAGAAGTAGGGGCATACTCACGCGTCTGGCACCTTTTTAACCAATGGGTAGGCCTTGCCTCTCGGTCCAGTTCCAGAGTCCGGGGCCCCTGGTACTCAGTTTGGAAGGTTCTGAGTCTGGTAAGCGCCCAGTTCTAGTCCAGGCAGACGTGGCCTCCAGAAAGTGACAAAAGGGAGGAGGCCACAGCACTCCACACATTCAGAGGCACTACTGTCTTCACCCGAATAGAACGCCTGGTCATTATAGCTGTGTTTTGCACAACATTTGGTCCAGATGCAGCGATAATGACCGGGCGTTCTATTCGGGTGAAGACGGTAGTGCGCAGTGCTAGCTCTGCATGAGAGCAAGCAAGCGCCCAGTGAGGACTCACTGAAAGGAGGAGCAGCCATGGACACCTGCTCTGCCCAGCGGCAGGCATAACTGCGCTGGGGGTCGGAAAGGTTGGCGCTGTATACTTGTGATCGGGGACAAGGACAGCAGTGGGGACTGGGGTACGAACTTGGTGATGGCCAAGGAGCGCACTCATGGTAGTCAGACTCTGCAGCATTGCTGGGCGAGAGGAGAGTGGACTTGAGGGGGAGAAGTAGGTGTATAGAGAGCGTAGGAATGCAATACAGGCAGTCAAATTATAGTAGAGCTGCTACATTGTCTTTGTATGTTTGTATTGTTTATTGGAGGCAAGAAGATGCGCTTTCTTTTTTTCTTTTTTGTTTTCTCACTGTCAAGATACTTCGGTGTTCAGTTTTTTGTTTTTTTTTCTGGTGTTCAGTGCTTTTTTCTTTTCTTTTCTTTTCTTTTTTTGCAGTGAGCTCTAATTTGTTGTGCTCTCGGCGTTGTAATTCTGCTTTCAACTTTGCTCACCGTATGATAAGACTAGAGTCACTAGATTCTTTTGAGATTCTAAACAGGACTGTAATGAACCCAGTCTGGCAGATACTCATCAGACGTCAAGCATAAGTTGTCTCAGATCTGCATGAAGTCTTCAGTTAACGCGAAGTGATATCTGAAACAGTATCTCGTTACCATTAGACGAAGAGAGTGGAGGGGAATAGACAGAGGAGAAGGTGGAAGAGATGAACAATGATCACCCAAGAGTAATCCAATCAAACCCCACTTCTTCTCCGGGCTTCCTCTCTTCTCCACGTCATCAACCAGTACACGATAACGAGTATGATAAGTCCTGATCACACAGAAGTGCCACGTGGCACTCTTATCTCGTGAAGACCATGAAGACAACAGAAGATTACGGTAACGACATCAACCTCAGGTGAGTACCCGATCCCAATCATCCACAGATCCCGATCTCCCACCTTGTCGCAACCAGTCACCTCACGTAGACAGTGTGGCCAATGCCACGTCAAATGTACAGACAGGTGGCATGCACCAGATCATCAATGAAGACAGGTGGCAGCGCCACATCAGCAATGTAGATAAGTGGCATGCGCCACATCAGCAATGCAGACAAGTGGCACGTGCCACATCAGCAGGATAGACAGGTGGCAGCGCCACATCAGCAATGCCTGGCGCACAAAGCAGAAAGCGCCAGCATGCTGCCACAGTCCCGAGTCGCCGTCCACAGTGCCTGTGCACAGCCAGCGTCAAGCTAGCGTTTCGCCAGCATCAAGCCAGCGTCAATGCCAGCGTTCAGTCAGAATCGAGCCAGTGTCCAAGCAGCATAGCAAGACTGAATGTTGACCACCTCGAGACCCAGCCTTATGTAGCCTTTGAGGATGCTTTCTGGCCTCGGGTCCTCTTTCCACAGTCGTACAGATTGACTCGCAGCCGAGGGCCTGGATTGTGTACAGTTGCAGACCTCCCCTTGTTCCTGATGTCATCTGGGTACCTGCATACAAACAAGTGTGTGCGTCTGACCGGCGGCCTGGGCTGGCTCGACTTTGGACTTTGACTGTTGGGTCCTGACAATTGACTTTAGTCAACTGTATCTTGTCCAGGCCCAGAGTCTAGTCGTGGGGTTCTTTTCCCCCCTTTAGCCTGGGTCTGAGTGCGGCCTGGCGAGGCTCTCAGACATTCCACAAGGCATACGGCTTGGGTTATTGCATTCCTGCTGGCCCAATTTTCGAGTTCCATTGCAGAAAGACATCAACTTCCTTTTCACCCAGGTTCGTATGCAGCAACAATATCAGGAGCAGTAGGTAGGAGTTCTTTCTTACTAAACCATCTGGCTTGGCGCCCAACAATGCAGAAATGGCAAAACTGGGCCCCCTCGTTGAATTCAGGCCCACCTTCCCTTAGGGCGGGCACATTGCTTGCCAGGGTCCCCTAGGCGTCCGCAGGCCGGGAGCGTGCGGCCCATGTGAGGACTTGTTCCTCGCACTTGCAGTTAGCAGTTTCCCCACCCCTTGTTGCAGAGATATGGCACGGTAATATTGGTTTGTTGAACTTTTCCGCAGCAGTTGAAGATCGCTTCGTCATCTATTTCGTGGAATTTTCGCCCGATCTCTTTCTATTTTCTAATTTTCGACATTCCTGCTGCAGGGGCCACTGGAGGCGCTCGTTGTCTCTATCCTGATTGCGCAAGTGACAGGCACAACTGGAATGCTAGCGGGCATGGCAACTCTTGTAGCACTCATTCCTCTGGAGGTATGCGTTCACATTTTCACAACATTCTTTCATGTTTTTCGTAACTTGTGGCAGATTCTTTTTGTATAGGCTGAATCTGATGCTGGGGTATCTGCGGGGTACTCTTTTCTTTCTTTCTTTCTTTTTTTCTTTCTTTCTTTCTTTCTTTCTTTCTTTCTTTCTTTCTTTCTTTCTTTCTTTTGAATCCACGGGGTACTTGTAGTTCTGGGTAATCTGTGGCGTACTCCTTATTAATTTTATTTTTTAAATCTGTGGGCCTGCGTGGGGTACTCTAGTTCCTCATTGTACATTAACTCCTCCACAAGAGTAAAGCCTCACTTGACGTGCTATTTTCCTTTACATGGATATGGATTGGATGTCAATCTGCACAAGTAACACATCTAGCTATTGGGGAAACTGCGTCAGTTTTATTTTCATTTTTCCCCTTGTACTTTGCAAGTACAGGGTACACCCTTTCTCGGTAAACCAGAAGCAAAACCTGTCGAATACTCACTTCACTTACCTGAGCGCATGGGTGATAAGGGTGATGCATAGGCTTATGTGCCCGCGAACTTGCCAGACATTTTGTATTCTGTGACATGCAATGCCCAGCATTGTCCATTCATCCATTTTCTGTTTTACCTTCCTTTTTTCTTTTTTTTTTTTCTTTTTTCTTAAACAGGGCCTTATGGTCCTGGCTCCTTCTATTCTGGGGAGTGTCGGTCCGGTTCCTTTTCCACCGGCAAGTCAAGATAAGCATTACATCAAGAAAACTCACACACGCTTCCTTCCGTCAGGCCGAAGGATCCCTGAACAGCATTGATTGCTCCACCGCGGTGGAGGATTGACTGTCAGCTTGCCCTATCCCACTCTTTCCTCTCAGACCTAGGGTCCAGGTCTGCCAGATAGCACCATTGTCTCTACAAAGAGCTCATCCGATAAACTTGCCGGTCTGTATCTTCCCCACGCACCTCCCTACCCCTTTGGAAGATGTGTGATAGACCTTACACCCTAAGCCCTTCGCCTGTGCGCCCAACCTCCAGTAGTCAAACTTTTTTTTTTTTTTTTTTTTTCCCGTGAGGCGTGATATCTCCTTTCCCATTTTATATGTCCTCCTTTTTTTAAAACATCCCTAAAACCCTTAACCCTAAGCCCTCAACCTGTGAAGCCGTATTACAGCCAACCTTTTGGGACCGCCCTTTCCCCTTGTTCTGGTCTTACGGTGCCGTGCGTCCAACTCTGAGCTGTCAATCCATAGCTGTAGCAGTTTTGGCTTGTCGAATTCCCGTGGAAGTCTGATCTGGCTGTGTTTTGCCCGTCCATAGTTATCTGTTCTTGATAGCCTCTTCCTGAGTTTGAGATGTGCGGGACCTTCCCGTAAATGCTATCGTCTCTTGTTCAAAAGGTAATTGATGCATCCGCCTTTGACCTCTGTTGGAAACTCCTTTCTGGCACTGAGTTATGCCTCTCTTTCCAGTAGATACAGTCCTCTCTTCTCTAGGCAGACTTGTCGTATACACAACCAGTTCTTGTACAGCCTCAGTCTCCCGTTCTTTCGCTGTTCCTTGTCTTCTGCCGAGGCTTGCTTGATACCATTTCCTCTTCAAGATTCTGGTCCGGAGGTGCCTTGCCCTTGCGCAGCTAGTCCCTGCCAAATACTGCTTCCCGGGTTGGAGTTGTGCCAGTCCTTCCAGTAAATGCGGTCGTCTCGTAGATCAGCAACTTTACCTCTTATCAACCATATCCTGTTGAACTTCAGTCTCGCCTTCTTTCGCTGTTCCTCATCCTCTGACCATGATAGTTTAATTTTCCGCCAACGGCATAGGATTTCCGCCTGTATCATTGCTTTCGTCTCCAGCCAAATCATCTCTCGTGAGTTGGACACTCCTTCGATCGTTCTGCTGCATCTTTCCTTCCATATGATCCATAGTGTCACCTTCCTGATGAGTCCATACCAAATCTTTTCCGCTTTCCGGAGTTGTTCAGGGATGTTAGTCAAGAGGAGAAGTTGGATGGGTTGTTCAGGAAAAGGGGTCGGGAAAAGGGAGTCCCATAGGGTCGAGGCTCTTGCCCAGAATTCTGTCGCCTCACTACAGTGTATTAAACAATGTACTATATCCTCTACCGCCCCTTCCGTACATACTTTGCATAAATCGGAACTGTCGGGGTCTGAACCCTTCTGCCTCACGTGTAGCCACTGGTTAACTGGTAATGCCGCATATATAATCAGCCATTGGAGGCTTTTGATTTTGATTGGTCTGATTGTTTTATAAATCTTCCACGGAATCTGTGTGATATTGTCTGCTTCCTGTCCTATTAGCTTCTGCCACCTGGCCTTGATCACCGGTTCTGGGTCTTTTGTTTTTAGCAGTAGCTCATACCCAAATTTGACCGTGTAATCCTGAATGGGGGTGAGTCTCTTTATGTTTGCCCTCCTTTCTGGTTTTCATGCCCACTCCATCGGGTCGAACTCCAGGTTGTGTAAGGCCGTATCGGTTCTGAAGATGAACTTCGCCCATGTGCCTAAGACCCTTACTTTTCTGAGCAGGAAGTAATCCATGACTGTCGTTTCCACGTTGATGTTCTTAATCGTTGTCATCCCCTTCGTGAAGTGGTCAATTGGGAAGGAAGTGAACACCGCTTGAGTGACTGATCCGGGATGTAGGTGTGAGAATTGGAAGGCCCTAGAGGGGAAAGTTTCCTGCACTTTGATCCCCCATTCACCGCTTTTCCAGGGCTCCCCTTGTTTTAACATATCTTTCCATTCCTGAGGAACAAGATTAATAATGTATTGCAGGTTGGGTCCTCTTCTATGGCATCCCTTCAAACGTTCACTTAACTCTTGTTCAGAGACCCATTCCCTCTTTTCTTCGTTCCACAAGTGACTGATTGTCCAGACTCCATTCCTTACCCATGACTGCCATTTGTGGTCCAAGAACAGGGGTTCATCACTTTCGCCCTTCAACCATTCATTGCCAACGAGAGGCTTTCTCAGCACCTCGTCCTTAGATTTTGGTCTGTTGGTCTTTTTTGGCATTATTTCCCTCCAAATCCGGATTAAGGATGCCCAGTACGGTGTTTGACGGTTGTCTACATTCCTTTCTACATCCCTCCTGGATCTTCGTCTCGCCCTTTTCAAGGACCATTCCTTATTCATTACCCAGAATAGCCTTGTCATGTTATTTGGCGATGCCACCGGAGCTAAGACCCTTATGCTATCCAAGGCCAGTTTGTTCCATGCCGTTTCTGGTTTAGTCAACAATCGGACTATCCATTTGACTTGAAGAGCTTTCGTTTCACACCTCGGGTTGATGATTCCTAGGCCCCCTTGTATCGGTTTTCTTGTGATATAATGCCAAGCTATCTTTGGGATACAGCCTTCCTTGTTGGGGTTGCCCGTCCATAAATACGTCCTGGCCACTCGATTAAGTTCCTTTAGTGAGTCGTTCGGAATTGTCCAGACCGAAGCAATGTACCACATCATAGAGAAGACAGAAGTGTCAAGTACCAATGCCCGACCGATCAGTGAGGTGAATGTGTTTCCCCATCTTCCCAATTTGTTTAACTGTTTAGCTAACATGTTCTGGGCCATCTGAGCTACCAGGCCCTCCCGTGACATGAGGATGCCTAGGTATCGGGTGGGTGTTTCTGGCGTGTCCCAGAACATGGCAGCCTCCGGTCCTTGCAGGTTGGGAATTTGTTCATCTGACAGCCACCAGCCTATGGTCTTCTTCCAGTTGATCTTCATTTCTGATGCCAATCTGAATGCTTCCATTGCCCTGGACAATGCTTTAAAAGACGAATCCGAAGCTCTAATCAGTACTGTCATGTCATCTGCAAACAAAATCACTGTCGGGAACTTGAGATGGTGAGACGTCCCTACATTGACCTCTGGGAGTCTATGTATGGAGGGGTCTTTCCGGGTCCCCTTGCCTGACTGATCGTGATATTGGGTAACTGTCAGACAGAAACCCGTTAATCTGTACGCAGCCTGAGGCATTGTTATACAATACCTGGATCCATTTCCTAAAAAATGGTCCCACCCCCATGCGTTCCATACTTGCATCCATGAAGGACCAGTTGACTTGATCATAGGCTTTTTCAAAGTCGAAGAAGAGTATGGCTGTGTTTATCCTTCTTTCCCTGACTTTGTTTGCTGCTTCGTTTAGAGTTAGCACATTATCCAGTATGTAACGTCCAGGGATAAAGCCCGTCTGGTCAATGTGAAAACATTTATCAGTTATTTTCGTGATTCTGGCAGCCAGGGTCTTAGCCAGGATTTTGTATGGGAGAGTTAGTAAGGAGATAGGTCTATAGTTCCTGATGTCTTCCTTATCCCCCTTCTTGTACAGTAGTGTTACAACGCTGCTACTCAACAAACTGCCTAGACCCCCTTTCTCATAGCTATCTTTGTAGACGTTCAACAGGTCGCCCCCGAGGTTTGGCAAGAATTTTTCCCAGAATTCTCTTGTCAACCCATCAATACCTGGTGCTTTGTCATTGTTCATGCTCTTGAGAGTTTGGTTTAACTCCTCCAATGATAAGGGTTTTTCCAACTCTTCTGATTGTTCTGGTGATATCGTTTGTTCCAAGTATTGTAACATCCTTTGTCTCGCTTCCAATGTGTTGCTTGGCGTGGGTGTTTGGGTTTTAGTCTGGTATAGGTCTTGGTAAAATTCTTTAGTAATTCTCAAAATTCCTTCGCTGGTTTCCGCTGACACCGCCGGGTTGCTGAGGGTTTTCAATTTCTCTATTGTGGTCGCTCTTGTATTTGCTTTAATTCGGGCAAAGAAGTGTTTCGATATTGATTCGCTGAGATCATATTCGCACATCCTGACTCTTATCTGCATACCCTTTAGCTCCCACCACCTCCACATCGCTAGCTCTTCCCGTGCTTTCTCAAATATGCCCGCATATAGTGCTGAGGACGGGTTATCCCTCAGGTTATATTCTGCTACCTTCAGGGCCTTTTCCAGGCTTTGTTTTCTCTGCTTCCTTATAGAGGCCAATTTTCTTGACAT